TATATATATATATGATGTAGGTCACCTTCCTTTAGAAACAGAAGCTTAGTTCAAATCCTGGCTTTTATCAACCTTCAGTGACCTTGATGCCTAATGACTGATGAACGTGTAACTGAAAAGCAGCTAAAATGGGGCTGTAGATCATGACCAAGTTAGACATTTATAGCCCTTTTCCACTAGTACCTCTACAACACGGTTCGACTTGGCTGAACTCTGTTCGGGTGGTTTTCCATTACATTTCAGTACCAGCTCTAGTGGGTGGGTTCCTCGTAAAGTTGGGTGGTCCCAGAACTCAAAAATTGATGTCACATGCTTCCATTCAATTATTTGCCACCATTAAACATAGTAGAAGAAGAAGTATCAAAAGACATGCTACACAACAATGGAGAACATGGTAGTGTTGTTATTGCAAATAGCAGATCGTATTGTTTTGAGAGTATCTGTTGTGACAAAGTAGTGAAGTAGGTTCTGGTTCTGCACATCCTTGCTAGTGGAAAAGCCTTGGGAGCGTGTAGAGCCAAGTGGAACCGTGCTGTAGATGGGCTAGTGGAAAAGGGACGTTTTTATCCTGCACTCTATAAGTGCTAAGTGATGAGGTTCAGGAAAGTTTTCATTGTCATGGAATATCTTTGAGAATAGTAAACACAAATTACAAATTTATGTTACATTTCATTCATTGTGGACCCTCCTCTGGATACTGCTTTAAACAAGATTTTTTTACACATTTTAACAAAAAAACAGAAATACCCATGCTGCCCTACATTAACAAAGTAGAAAAATACAAAGAAAGAAAACCGTAAGGGTGGCTCCATTGTTGTTTTTGTTACCATTGCAACACAGGCTTGTACACCATCATATTCACCATGTTGCACTGTCTGTGGGTGGTTTCTGCACCATCTTCTTCTCTTCTTTAGCTCTCCTTATGGTTTTGTCTTTGGGTCATTTTCACAAAACAACATAGCACCAGTTATAAAACGGTGCAAACGCCCATCGAGTTGAGCATGTGTGAGCAGCAGAACACATCAGAACACAGGTGTCCACACGGCACAGTTTATGCGTGAGCATCTGTCACAAACTCAATGGCAGCAAAAATAACAAATAAACTCTTCACAGAGAGCTGCAGGTTTTAATAGACAAAGAACAAAAGCCCTCCTACAGGAATAACATCTGACTGCAGGCAGGAATCGGTGGTCATCACTGCTTCTTTATTTTTACTTTTAAAATTAAAAAACGGATCCTTCTGGACCACCTGGGGTTAGGGTTACGTTAGGTAATCTGTGGAGAGGTTCAACCCACCCTCCTTTTCTATAACCCACTAAAGTGTTGACTTTCAGGTCCTTTAACCTCTGCACTGACGGATAAAATGTTCTGTAATCAGAATAAATACTGTAGTTTTCAGGATTTTTGGAGAAATAGAATAAAAATAAAAACCAGAACAGAAAGTTTTAGTTCGTAGAAGTCACAGTGAGGAGCTGATGATGATGATGAAGGTTGATGAAGGATCTGCAGTGTGTTGCTCACACGTGTATCGTGGTGGGCGGAGCTCTGGCTTGGGGGCGTGTTTCGTGTCAAAGCTTTGAGCATTTTCTGATGCTCTTTCTGTGTCCACGCCTGCTATAACACACACGTGTGTGTGTGTGTGTGTGTGTGTGTGTGTGTGTGTGTGTGTGTGTGTGTGTTTTTGTTTGCTTCCAACATTTTGTATTTGTATT